CAAGCCATTCTGTGATTCTATGATGATTCCCACTTCACCCTGTACAAATGCAGGAGAGAAGAGGCAGCGGCCCGTGGAGAGCCCCTGCAGGAATAGGCCCCTGGGACAGAGCTGCAGATTGTGGAGAGGAGCCCACGCAGGAGCAGGAGATCTGTGGAGAGCTGCTCCCTGTGGAGAACCCATGCTGGAGCAGTTCTCAATAAAGTTCAAATGCATGTCAGCCTAACACTCCTCCTTTCTTCACACAACGCACTTCATCCAATGGAACCTGGATGGGCTGGAGAAGCAGGCCCATGTGAACTGAATGAGGTTCAACAAGTCTAAGAGCAAGGTGCTGCACCTGGTTCGGGGCAATCCCGGAAAGGAGTACAGACTGGGAGAACTCATTTGGAGTTCTCATTTCAGCCATCTACAAATAGACCTACTGCTGCATAGTGCTGAACCAATAATCGATTTTGTTTGTGCCTCTCTGATCCTCCACCTTCTCAACAAGCACTATCACAGAGTCCTATATGTAGGTAGGACATCAGTCACTTCTACGTAAAAGATGCTGTGTAGTCACACATGGGATATGCTCTATATAAATCCATGCTGACTACTCTCCATCACTTTTCCGTACTTGAGAATACATTCAGGGAGGATTTCCTCAGAACCTTCCCAGAGGCTGATATCAGGCTGACCAGGCTGCAGTTTCCCAGATATTCGTCCCTTCATCTGTTCTTGAACAAAAGAGTGGGATGAGTCTCTTCCAGTTTTCAGGAACCTCTCCCAGTCACCATGACCTTTCAAAGATAATTGAAACTGCTATTGCAAACATATCACCTGGGACATTCAGTGTTTGCAGGTGTAGCTCGTTGGGTCCCATGTACTCCTGCATAACCAGTTACACAGACTCCCCAGCATCTTCGTCAACAAGGTGCAGTGGGAAACCCTTCAAAACTGTCACCTTGGTAGATCAGGGGCTGCACTTGCCATTCCCCACTCCTCAGAATGCAACCACGACCACTGGGGCCTCAGGTGCAGAGCCACAAGCAGCATGCACACCTCCAGCTCCCCTCTGAAACGTCTACCTCATTTGTGTCTACATTGAACAGCACGCAGAGAAATAGGATTCCCCCTTGAAACTCACCTCAAAGAACACCCCAGCACCTTAGGCCCAGACCTTCTGTCAGACAAACACATGACTGTCCCTGCCCCTCACAAATCTCACAGCCTCTCCCAGGCCTCAACAGAAAGCCCAAGGGATTCCAACCAAACTGTATTAGGCCAAAGCCCTTGTGCTGGCCACAGAACAGGGAGCTCAATGGAGGTGCCAAAGCAACACTTGAAGAAGCATGGCAGGGCTCCCAATGCACTTAGTCTTGTCAGCCCTGAGACAGGCCCGCGACTCCAACACCCTGCTATGCAAACACCTCTTCTCTGCCTCTTTGGACTGCGGCCCCAGGGACAACACAGGGGTCTTGCTCCCATACACTTGCTCCCACATACAGCCTCTATGTGCAAGATGGCCACCAAGCCACCAATGAAGCACACCCAACGGAAAAGACAAGGGCTAGTCACAGGCTGGTGTGTTGGGATGAATGCCCAACATACCTCAGAAGCACTGGCCAACCTACTGGGGATGCCAACAAGGGGACCTCCTCCTCACAAAAAAGCCAATGACCACACCTCATGAGTGCCAAACCATGACCTCACGGACAACAATGCACCTCTCCCATGTCTTCAATGCAACATCTATCCACCCCTACATGAACCTTCAAAAGCTATCCTTCGGTCTTTAATACTCTCACTTGAAATGTTCCGCCACTTCCAACATCCTGAACAGGAAGAAATGAAGTTGGACCATTGTGGGGAGATCACACCCCACCTCATTACTTGAGGGGTTGTGGCATGCAAGAGCAGCTGACGCCAAATACTGTCATGCGCAAAGGCTCTCTCGCCTCACGGATACTCGGGACCAGCATAAAAGCCGGCCCTGCACCTCGCACCCTCACACACTTCTCCTGACGACTTCTCCCCTGCACCCAATAAGGTGAGTCTGAACTCTGCTCTGCTCCTTCACCCACCACAACTTGTCCATCTCTCCACAAACCTTCTGTCCCCAGCCTCAACAGCCCTTCCACCTCCCAACCACCAGGCTCTCCATAGCCCCACTCTGGGCCTTTCCACTCCCTTGGCCTACCCCAGCACTGCTCTTCATGCCACCAACACCCTCCGACTTTACAATACCCTCTCTTCCAGGCACCCTCCACACCACAGACATGTCCTGCTACGACATCTGCCGCCCCTGCGGACCCACCCCGCTGGCTAACAGCTGCAACGAGCCCTGTGTCAGGCAGTGCGAGGACTCCCACGTCGTCATCCAGCCTCCTACCGTGCTGGTCACCCTGCCAGGACCCATCCTCAGCTCCTTCCCCCAGAACACCGCCGTTGGATCCTCCGCATCAGCTGCCGTGGGCAGCAACCTCAGCTCCCAGGGAGTGCCCATCTCTGGAGGTGGCTTCGGAGGCTTTGGCCTGGGAGGCCTGGGCTGCATCTCTGGCGGAAGAGCCTGCTACCCCTGCTAAGGACCCATGCCAATATCCCTGACAGTAGCCTCCAACACCATGCCAGCCAGCTCTCAGTCTGAGGAACCAATTCCGTGCTGTCTATGGCATACGAGCTGACAAGCCACAGCTCGTCATTCCATGGCACAACAAAGCAAGCAAGCAAGGTATGGGACAGCCCTTGCTGTCAGGAAACATGGCCAACACACCCCCTTCTTTCTTCGTCTTTCTCCTTTCCATAGCACCACCACCTACCCACTTCTCTGCTGCAATGCCTTGCTCACTAGCATAGTCCCTTGGGAACCTTTCTAGGGCTGCTCCCACCATGGGTAGGGAGACCTAAGGGCTCTGGGAAAATCCGCCGTATGCAAGGACATAGGTTAGTGGTCATCCTCCAGCCACCTCAGAATGTGCATCTTCCACTTGAAGCTCCCTCTGTTTCATGTTTTCCTCAATAAAATGAATCTGCATCCCAAATCCTCAGATGCCTCTTCATTATTTCTTCTCCCAACGCTCTTCCAAATTCACCCGAAAAAGAACAAAACAGGGCTCAAGTGGCCCTCAGGCCCCAAGCCTCTTGGTGTTCAAGAAGTATTTGGACAATGCTCTTACATATCTCCTAGGCTCTAAAACGGAAAGACATGATGGGCCACTCAGCATATAAGGACTTGCCTGCACAGTCATATTCCAAGAGTTGCGCTCAACAGCTCGGTCCCAGGTGGGGACGGGGAGAGTGGTGTCCTCGGGGTCTCTATTGAGGCCAGTATTATTTAACAGAGTTGTCTCTCACACGGAACCACACATATGTTGCAAGACTCTGGTGGATGTGGATGCATCTTTGTGCCGTCGCTGACCCACAAGTTCTCAAGCATGCCAGCCTGACGTGCTTCCTCTTCCCTTCTTCTTCCCACTCCCTCAGCACAAAGGCAAAATCCTAGAGGTCATTGGATAGGTTGAAAAGGGCCACAACACCTTAAAATACATCACCCAAGACCTACAATGACCAACACAAGCTTCATCATTCAAAGCCCTTTGCCCATGCCTTCTGAAACAATTTCCCCTCATTAGCACACCCTACAGCTGCTTTCTTTTGCACCACGATCGTACACAGCGTATGACCACAAAGTGACGAGCCTGCAGTTCCCCACACCTTTCTTCTGCATCTGTTGAACATCACAGTGGGATGAACCTCTTCCAGTCTTCAGGAACCCAGTTGCCATCAACTTTCAAAGAAAGATGAAAATAGCCTTGTGAAGATATCTGCCAGGACTCTCAGCATTTGTAGGTGCAACCTGACAGGTCCTGTGCACTTCAGTACATCCAGTGGCTCAGCTTCTCCATCTTCCTCGGCAACGTGCACTACTCACCTGAGAGACAGCCCACGAAACACTCACCTTGGCTAACCAGTGGAAGGCCTTGATGTTCATTCACCCTTTGCAGGTTTAGCTCGCATGCCTCCAGTTTCTGTCTGAAATGTCCAAATCATCTTCCAGAAAATTAAACACTGGGCAGAGAAATAGATTTCCCCCTTGACACAAATCCCAAATATCATCCCCAGTTATATGATGGCTACCAGTTGGCCCTTTCTCATAGTCCATCTTGTCCTCTGCCTTTCATGAACCTCTGGGCCGCTCACAGACCACCCCACCCAGCCCGAGAAATCCCGTCAAGCAAAGTGTCAAGCCTTGTGTTCTCTGGGGACTTCAGCTTTGGAGGAAAAGAGGAAACATGGAAAAGTCAGGAAACATGGCCAGTGTAGGACCTACTCATCTCTCATTCCTTCTTTTCATAGCATCCTCTTCTATGCCCAATGCTCTCCACTGCAATGACTTGCCTACAGCCACAAAGCCAGTGTGGCTGGGCCACACCAAAGGAATGCCACGCAAAGACCTCACTCATGACACCGCACCTCAACCAGTCTTTGGCCACAACATACACCTGACCTCCGTGCAACTTTCAAAGAAATTCTCCAGCCTCTTATTCCCTCACTTTGAAGGTGCCGTCAGGACCCAACACCATGTCCAAACAGGAGGAAATGAGAAGGTCAAGTTGTGGGAAGGACACCACACCCCACCTCATTACTTGCCAGGCTTTGGCATGCAAGAGCAGCTCGCCAAATGTTGTCACGTGCAGAGGCTCTCTGCCCTGGGCACTCAAGGAGCAGCATAAAAGCCGGCCCTGCACCTTCCTCCCTCACACACTCCTTTCAACGCCTTCTCCTCTGCGACCAACAAGGTGAGCCTGAACCCCGACCCCCTCCTTCACCTACCCCATTGAACCCATCTCTCCACAGGTGTTATGCCCCTAAACCAGCAGGCCTACCACCTCCCACCACCATGCTCCCCACACACAGGCTCCCCACTCCCCTTGTCTACATAGGCACTACTCCTCAAAGCCCCAACACCCTCCACCTTCCCAACACCCTCTCTTCCAGGCACCCTCCACAACACAGTCATGTCCTGCTACAACCTCTGCAACCCCTGCGGACCCACCCCGCTGGCTAACAGCTGCAACGAGCCCTGTGTCAGGCAGTGCGAGGACTCCCACGTCGCCATCCAGCCTTCCACCGTGGTGGTCACCCTGCCAGGACCCATCCTCAGCTCCTTCCCCCAGAACACCGCCGTTGGATCCTCCGCATCAGCTGCCGTGGGCAGCAACCTCAGCGCCCAGGGAGTGCCCGTCTCTGGAGGCGGCTTCGGAGGCTTTGGCCTGGGAGGCTTGGGAGGCTATGGCTTGGGAGGCCTGGGCTGCTTCTCTGGCAGAAGAGCCTGCTACCCCTGCTAAGGACCCACACCAGGACCTCCGAAAGCCGCTAACAATGCCCTGCAACCAACTTCATGGAGTGAGGATGCTCTGATCTCCGTGTTCTGGGAGTACCTTCCACACAAAATGCGTAGGTGCTGATGGTCACTGTGCCTGCACCTCTGACCAGGGCCCTGCTGCTTTTGCTCATTCCTTTTTCACGAGTCTTCCTCAATAAAGTTCTAATGCATGCCAGCCTAACACTCCTCCTTTCTTCACCCAGTGCTCTTCATCCAAAGGAACCTAGACAGGCTGGAGAAGCAGGCCAATCAAAAGTGAATGAGTTTCAACAAGTCCAAGTGCTGAACATGGGTCAGGGCAATTGCAGACAGGAGTACAGACTGGGAGAAGAACTCATTGCGATCAGCCCTGCAGAGAACGACTTGGGTTGTTTTGGTGAATGAAAGGCTCAATAGGATCCAGCAATACACACCTGCAGCCCAGAAGGCCAAGTGCATGCAGTGCTGCATCAACAGAGCAGTAACCAGCATAGTGAGGGAGTTGATTGTCCCCCTCTTTTCTGTTCTCGTGAGGCTCCACGTTGAGCACCTCTCCTGTGAAAGAAGGCTCAGAGAGCTGGGCATGTTCAGCCTGGAGAAGTGAAGGCTCTGCGGAGACGTCCTTCAGATCTTCCCGTATTTAAAGGGGTGTTCTTAAAAAGATGGAGAATGTCTGTTTACTCGTGTAGATAATGATAGGAGAAGGGTAATTGTCTTCAACTAAAAGAGGATAGATTTAGACTAGACATTAGGAGGAAATTCTTCACTGTGAGGGTGGTGAGGCAATGGTACAGGTAAGTTGTCGTTACCCCAGCCCCAGTGGTGTTCAAGGCAAGCCTGGATGGGACCTTGGCCAGCATGGTGTAGTGGGTGGCATCCTTGCCTATGGCCGAGGGCTGCAGTAATATGATCCTTAAAGTCCCTTCCAAGGTGAGCCATTCTATGATGATTCCTTCTTGACCCTGTTTAAGACATGGTTCTAATCAGGTCAAAAAGTGCCACAAGACCTCCCCTATTGTGCTGTTTTTATGTGGCAAAGTTTTGGTAGTGGGGAGTACAGGGGAGGCCTCTGTGAGAATAATCCAGCAGCTGCCCCATGTTTGATAAGGGCCTGTTTCAGCCATCTACAAAGGGACCTGATGCTGCATAGTGCCGAGCCAATAATCGGTGTTGTTTGTGCCTCTCTGATCCTCCACCTTCACAACAAACACTATCACAGAGTCCTACATATAGGTAGGCCGTCAGTCACTTCTACGTAGAAGATGCTGTGTAGGCACACATGGGATATGCTCTCTATAAATCCATGCTGACTACTCTCCATCACTTTTCCGTACTTGAGAATACATTCAGGGAGGATTTCCTCAGAACCTTCCCAGAGGCTGATATCAGGCTGACCAGGCTGCAGTTTCCCAGATATTCGTCCCTTCATCTGTTCTTGAACAAAAGAGTGGGATGAGTCTCTTCCAGTTTTCAGGAACCTCTCCCAGTCACCATGACCTTTCAAAGATAATTGAAACTGCTATTGCAAACATATCACCTGGGACATTCAGTGTTTGCAGGTGTAGCTCGTTGGGTCCCATGTACTCCTGCATAACCAGTTACACAGACTCCCCAGCATCTTCGTCAACAAGGTGCAGTGGGAAACCCTTCAAAACTGTCACCTTGGTAGATCAGGGGCTGCACTTGCCATTCCCCACTCCTCAGAATGCAACCACGACCACTGGGGCCTCAGGTGCAGAGCCACAAGCAGCATGCACACCTCCAGCTCCCCTCTGAAACGTCTACCTCATTTGTGTCTACATTGAACAGCACGCAGAGAAATAGGATTCCCCCTTGAAACTCACCTCAAAGAACACCCCAGCACCTTAGGCCCAGACCTTCTGTCAGACAAACCACATGACTGTCCCTGCCCCTCACAAATCTCACAGCCTCTCCCAGGCCTCAACAGAAAGCCCAAGGGATTCCAACCAAACTGTATTAGGCCAAAGCCCTTGTGCTGGCCACAGAACAGGGAGCTCAATGGAGGTGCCAAAGCAACACTTGAAGAAGCATGGCAGGGCTCCCAATGCACTTAGTCTTGTCAGCCCTGAGACAGGCCCGCGACTCCAACACCCTGCTATGCAAACACCTCTTCTCTGCCTCTTTGCACTGCGGCCCCAGGGACAACACAGGGGTCTTGCTCCCATACACTTGCTCCCACATACAGCCTCTATGTGCAAGATGGCCACCAAGCCACCAATGAAGCACACCCAACGGAAAAGACAAGGGCTAGTCACAGGCTGGTGTGTTGGGATGAATGCCCAACTGTGTTGGGTCTGTCTGAGCTGGAGTCACCTTTTCCCTGCAGCAGCCCGCACAGTGCTGTGCTCTGCACTCGTAGCTGGAACAGCACTGATATCACTCCAGTGTTGTGTCTATTGCTGCGTAGTGCTGGCACAGCATCAGGACTCCTAAGCCCCCAAGAGCCAGCAGGCTGGGGGTGGGCAAATGATGGGGAGGGGACATTGCCGGGGCAGCTGACCTAAACCAACCAAAGGGATATTCCATAACACCTGATGTCACACTCAGCAATAAAAGGGGGGGCTCTCGTGGGGGAGGGGGCTGTTCCTCCTGAACAACCACTACGCGTTTGAGGCCCTGCTTCCCAGGACGTGGCCGAACACCGCTCGCTGATGGGAAGTAGAGAATAATTTTTTTCTCTCTCTCTGTGCTTCCGCGCGGACTGATTGTTTCTTTTGTATCTGTTTCTCCTTCCCATTCCCTTTCCCTTTAATTAAACCTTTCTCATCTCAAACCTCGAGTTCTCTGTGTTGTATTTTCTCCCCCTCCTTCTGAGGAGAGGGGGAGTGAGAGAGCGGTTGTGGTGGAGCTTGGCTGCCCACCTGAGTAAAACCACCACACCAACATACCTCAGAAGCACTGGCCAACCTACTGGGGATGCCAACAAGGGGACCTCCTCCTCACAAAAAAGCCAATGACCACACCTCATGAGTGCCAAACCATGACCTCACGGACAACAATGCACCTCTCCCATGTCTTCAATGCAACATCTATCCACCCCTACATGAACCTTCAAAAGCTATCCTTCGGTCTTTAATACTCTCACTTGAAATGTTCCGCCACTTCCAACATCCTGAACAGGAAGAAATGAAGTTGGACCATTGTGGGGAGATCACACCCCACCTCATTACTTGAGGGGTTGTGGCATGCAAGAGCAGCTGACGCCAAATACTGTCATGCGCAAAGGCTCTCTCGCCTCACGGATACTCGGGACCAGCATAAAAGCCGGCCCTGCACCTCGCACCCTCACACAGTTCTCCTGACGACTTCTCCCCTGCACCCAATAAGGTGAGTCTGAACTCTGCTCTGCTCCTTCACCCACCACAACTTGTCCATCTCTCCACAAACCTTCTGTCCCCAGCCTCAACAGCCCTTCCACCTCCCAACCACCAGGCTCTCCATAGCCCCACTCTGGGCCTTTCCACTCCCTTGGCCTACCCCAGCACTGCTCTTCATGCCACCAACACCCTCCGACTTTACAATACCCTCTCTTCCAGGCACCCTCCACACCACAGACATGTCCTGCTACGACATCTGCCGCCCCTGCGGACCCACCCCGCTGGCTAACAGCTGCAACGAGCCCTGTGTCAGGCAGTGCGAGGACTCCCACGTCGTCATCCAGCCTCCTGCCGTGCTGGTCACCCTGCCAGGACCCATCCTCAGCTCCTTCCCCCAGAACACCGCCGTTGGATCCTCCGCATCAGCTGCCGTGGGCAGCAACCTCAGCTCCCAGGGAGTGCCCATCTCTGGAGGTGGCTTCGGAGGCTTTGGCCTGGGAGGCCTGGGCTGCATCTCTGGCGGAAGAGCCTGCTACCCCTGCTAAGGACCCATGCCAATATCCCTGACAGTAGCCTCCAACACCATGCCAGCCAGCTCTCAGTCTGAGGAACCAATTCCGTGCTGTCTATGGCATACGAGCTGACAAGCCACAGCTCGTCATTCCATGGCACAACAAAGCAAGCAAGCAAGGTATGGGACAGCCCTTGCTGTCAGGAAACATGGCCAACACACCCCCTTCTTTCTTCGTCTTTCTCCTTTCCATAGCACCACCACCTACGGCCACTACTCTCTGCTGCAATGCCTTGCTCACTAGCATAGTCCCTTGGGAACCTTTCTAGGGCTGCTCCCACCATGGGTAGGGAGACCTAAGGGCTCTGGGAAAATCCGCCGTATGCAAGGACATAGGTTAGTGGTCATCCTCCAGCCACCTCAGAATGTGCATCTTCCACTTGAAGCTCCCTCTGTTTCATGTTTTCCTCAATAAAATGAATCTGCATCCCAAATCCTCAGATGCCTCTTCATTATTTCTTCTCCCAACGCTCTTCCAAATTCACGCAACAAAAAGAACTAAAACCAGGGCTCAAGTGGCCCTCAGGCCCCAAGCTTCTTGGTGTTCAAGAAGTATTTGGACAATGCTCTTATATATCTCCTAGGCTCTAAAAAGGAAAGACATGATGGGCCACTCAGCACATAAGGAATTGACTGCACGGTCATATTCCAAGAGTTGTGCTCAACAGCTCGGTTCCCAGGTGGGGACTGGGGACGAGTGGTGTCCCTCTGGGGTCTCTATTGAGGCCAGTATTATTTCACAGAATCACAGAATCACAGAATTTCTAGGTTGGAAGAGACCTCAAGATCATCGAGTCCAACCTCTAACCTAACACTAACAGTCCCCACTAAACCATATCCCTAAGCTCTACATCTAAACGTCTTTTGAAGACTTCCAGGGATGGTGACTCCACCACCTCCCTGGGCAGCCCGTTCCAGTGCCTCACAACCCTTTCAGTAAAGAAATTCTTCCTAACATCTAACCTAAAACTCCCCTGGCGTAACTTTAGCCCATTCCCCCTCGTCCTGTCACCAGGCACATGGGAGAACAGGCCAACCCCCACCTCGCTACAGCCTCCTTTAATGTACCTATAC